ACAATACAAAAAAAATCAACCTAGTAATCCTAAAGGTAGAACAACGATCACTTACGCTTTGAAATCCAATAGAAACAATCTTGCCATTTGCACCTTTGGGTTTCTTGAACATGATGATGAGTTTTGAACTCGTTCTGCATGGCTCACTGGCAAGAATCTAGAACTAGTGCCAATAACTTTACTTTGGGTACATGATTCTCTCTTTTTGGGGCCATTTATGTGAGGTTGGGTTTATACCGAAAGCAATTGATGTCTTCATCGTAGTTTTATCAAAATTTTCCATTGAAATTCTAGGTTTTCCATAGATTCCACTTGAGTAACTAGGACATGAGAGAAGTAACAGCCGGGAATTGAAAGAAGAAGCTGCCATGGAATGAGATGGAGAGCCTAATAAGCAGTTGCTGTCCAAACACAAACCATTTATGGGTATGAAATATATGTGGATATAAAAAGCTGTTTTGTGCGAGCTTAAAAAAAGGAGTAAAAATAAAACACAAACAAAAAAAGAGGCATCAAGAACAAAAACGTGAACTAGTTACCTTCTTTAAAGATTTTCTTTTGAAGGGCTTCGGCGGACTTTTTTTCTGACTCACTGGGCAAGTACGAAAGTGGAGTTGTAGGACCCCGGACTCGACCTTGAAGGATGGCCTCTCACGATTGTGCAAAGAACAGTGAAGAGCGAAGGATGAATAGTTCCACCTACCTTTCAGCGATGGTTAGGACAAAGATTGGAAGAGGAAAGTGGTTCCTCTTCATCGAGGATGGAGAAGAAGAAGAGAGAGAGGGAGAGGAAAAAGATGGTGCCAGTTCCTGTTGGGAGGATGCATACCACCATTGTCGTCACTTTTGAGGTTTGAATTATCGATGTTAATGTTTCATTTCGAAAAATATTCATAAGAATAATGGGTAAAATAATCTTTTTCATTCTTTCATTAATGGACGTTGATAGTAAGGGGGATTTAGTTAATTGTCATATGCAAATATAAGAATAGAATTAATCAATTAACTAAAAAGTATGGATACTTTAAGAAATTTGTCCCAAATTTAATTGGGATTGTCATGTTAAAAGTGGTGGGACAGACTGTATCGGGTGTAGCAAGATTTGATCTGATGTGGGTCTATTTTTATGTTCCTGCAGGTGAATTAATCTATTTGTATTTATATGTGTACCGTAATTGAAGGGGGCTGTTCAATGTCTTTTGTTTTTATTTGTTTTTTAAATTGCCATATCAGAAAAAAATAATTCTTGAACTGTGTTTTTTATTTTAAAAAGAAAAAAAACAAATTGGTTTAAAAGCAATTCATGTTTTTGAAACCATCAAAACGATGGTTTTTAAATAAAAAAGGGATGTTGGAGTACAAATATTTTATGATTTATGAAGATCGATGGGATACAATAATTGATTTAAAATATAAATAATTTTTAATTAAATCAGGAATTAAAAATGTGTTTTTTTTTTATTTCACTTCTACAAACGAAAAACACATTTACAACCAAGAAGTATTTTATGTTTAAGAAACATATTATTTTTACTTTTTTTAGTTAGCGACATTTAGTTTTGTAGGTAATAAAAAATACTGTACAGGGTTGAGCATGCCCAGTATATGAAGGATCTTAATAGTAGGTTGTATTGGTAATTGGAGCCTCTCGTTAATGTTTATTATTATTTTGAATAAATTATAAAGACCCCCTCTACTATGGGGTCTGTGACAAAGACCTCTCTATTTTGTTTTGCGACAAAGACCCCTCCGCATTATGACCGTGAGATAAATATCTCCTTATTGAAATCCACCGTTTTAATCCTGATACTATCTTTGTAATAAATATTCTAACAATTGGGAAAAAAGCACTGTTCATCTCCCCCGACACGAACAACACCCCAATTCTTGCTTCTCAAGCCTTTCTTCACTGGCCGCCCGAAATACCACAGATCCAGAGTCTTGCTTAGACGGGTTACAACACTATTTTCAAAACCAGACTGGACCGGATGGTTGAACCGGAAATATCGGGAATCGGTCACCTAACCGGTTCCGTTTTCCTCCAAAATCGATTTTTCCCCAAAACCGTTAATTTTGGTCAGAAAACTACTGAACCGTTTTCCAATTTTTTAAATTTTTTTATTTTTTTGTCAGAATGGACTGACTGTTTGGGTTGAACGGTTGGACCATTCGAACCGATAACCGGACTCCTGACCAATTTGGTCACAGTTCGTTTTGAAAACCATGGATTACAAGAGTTGAACAGCACCACCGTTGCAACAGTGCTTGAAGAGTTGAGGGTAGCAATGAAGAACTCAACCGAGTTTACAAGTAATAGCTTAGCCATTGTGTCCAAGATCCTGACCCTTCTCGAGAACCTCGATATTCATCGGAAGCTATTGGATGTGGGGTCTGACTCTAATGAGTTTCCGGCGTGGATGCACCCTGGTGACCGGAGACTGCTGCAGGAGACGGTTCTGTGGATCCGATTGGTCATACATGCACATACCAACAGTACTAGTTGTCCTTGTGGATGCACTCCAAGTATTCGAGATGGCACTGGATTGGGCCGGGGAGAGTAAATTAAGTAAGATATTGGGAGAATTGACCGATACCCCTAGTGTCAGAATTTGTAGGTTTAATGTATGGTTGGAATAGGTGTCAGTTCGGAATTGATGCCAATTTACAGGCGACGTGAATGTATAGAGTGTGGGTATAGGTTCATTTGAATGTTTATAGCCCTATAATGTAAATCAGAAATCTGCATTGGGCAAATCCATACTTTTGTCTTACGAGCAGGGAAGAACCCCGGGCCTGGTTGAGATGGAGAGATGAGCCTGGAATCCTGAGTTGGATTCAGTAAGGGACCATCACCACTTGCCTGAAGTACGCGGCGACGGAAGACCATTCCCTAAGAAGCTGAGGCGGACGACGTATAAGGTGGACCAGGAGCAAATCCCAAAACCAAGGTCAATATCACCCCACCTTTCAATTTCGTTTCTTCCCTCAACGAGCGCCGAGCGGAGCGGCGGCTGCTGCAAGAACCACAGAACCATGATAACATTTGAATGGTTGAAAGAGTTGGTGCTCTCTCTTTGTTGGTTTTGATTCTTCAACAACAAAATATGTATGACCAATCGGATCCACAGAACCGTCTCTTGCAGCAGTCTCCGGTCACCAGGGTGCATGGACGAGTTGATCTATGGTGTCTTCAAACTGGGTTTGGCAATCACGCAGCGTGGCCACAAGAAGAGGATCACCGTTGACCTTAGGGATAAGCTTCATGGGTAAAGAAGCGAGCTTTGAGAGCTCGATAAGGGCAATTGGAGGGAGAGCTTGAAGAGCTCTTCTGCATCTGTGGTTTTCTGGGCGGCCAGTGAAGAAAAGCTTGAGAAGCAAGAATTAGGGTGCTGTTTGTGTATCTGAGGTAAAGGAAGATGAACACTACTTTTCGAATATTTATTATAAGGGTAATTTAGGGATTAAAATAGCAGAAAATTAAGGAAATGAGATCTTTGTCTCATGATAATAGTACAGGGGATTTTGTCGTAAAACAAAGTACAGGGGATCTTTATGGGAGAGGAGGGGTCTTTGTAATTTACCCTATTATTTTTTCAACCCCCTCTCCCCAGAAAAATAAAAATCGGCTCTTTACTGTTTGAGTTTTAAGCAAGATGAAAAATGCTGAGATCAAAGTCACTGACCTAAGGATTATTGGTAGGGTTTTATTACATATAAAACCAAAATCACTGAAAATTCATCAAAACCACCTGATTGATCAAACTCTCAAAATGTAAGAAATATTAAATTGGACCGATAAGACATATTAAATTGAACAGTACCAATGGTCCAAAATATTTATTGGATTGGATTGGACTTGGTCCATTCATAATAAATTTATATTGGATTAGGTTGAATTTAGCCAATATATGATCCATTAATAAAATATAAGAATATAGGTGTAAAAGGATCTGATTTGAATTAAAACTAAACTAAATTAAAACAAATTTGAACAGAAGGAATGGTCCGGTCATTAAATTGGATTGGTTGTACAAGATATTCATTGGATTGAATTTGACCTGATCCATTAAAAATAGATTCACATTAGACTAGATAGATTGAATCAAATCTTCCAATTGACACCACCAAATTCGTAACTACCAACTCTCACTTATAATAGTCTGATTCTGATCAATAAAAAATTACCATGTACGTAAATTTTGATAAATTTTCATTAATTAATTGATGATCTGTGTACACCTTAATACAAAGAAAGCGTCACTGCTTTGTGGGGAGTTCAATTCAGCATGTGAGGGCTGAGGGGTGTGTAAGTAACTAACACGTCTAATGGAAAACCTGTTCCATATTGAATGAAGTGACAAGTGGCAACTCATCATCCCCTCGTCTCGTGAATGAAGCAAATGATTAAAAAACGCATTCCTTATTCTCTGAATATAATAATTGTGTTGCCACTCCACCTGTTCCTATTGTCAAGTTTTATATGGTAAATTAATTAAACAAGGAAGAAATACCAACGGAGGAGTGGGCAGAAGAAAAAAGTGGAGCCGCAATATTAACAAAGTTATATATATATATATGGTATTTATATTTATATATACGAGTGTGTGGTTTGGGATTTTTGGCACTAAATAATTATATATAAATATAAATATGCAATGAAATACTATAAATATGCAAGATGAGAGAAGGGCAGATAGCAGGCATGGACATGGGAGGACGAGAAGGGTTGTTGAGCTTGCCCTCTCAGGTATATTAATTTTACCCTCTCAGTCTCTCACACACATATGGGTATTTAATATAAAACAAAATAGAAATTTAACGTCGAGACATACAATAATGTGGACACATCTCTTTTTTCTTACTGCAACTAAACTAGGTAAATACAAAGAAATGTTCACGTTGTCGAGACATTCAATAATTCGCAACTTGTTTCCCTATGGTTTAAAAAGGGAAACTAGTCTCTCCTGTTTTGTGCTTGTTCGGATCATCTCTCTCTCTCTCTCTGCGCCCTCTGCCTATCTTTCTTTCTCTCTCTCTCCTCTCTCCTCTCTCCTTTCGTTTCTTTTCTCACACTCTCCTTGTCTCTTCTCTAAGGACTCGTAATTATAACTTCCCCCAACAAGGTCAGGGAGATGGGAAGAGCACCCTGTTGCTCTAAGGTGGGTTTACACAGAGGTCCATGGACTGCTAGAGAAGACACATTGCTCATCAAGTATATTCAAGCCCATGGTGAAGGCCATTGGAGATCTCTACCCAAGAAAGCAGGTAAATAGCTACTAGCTAGCTAGTTTCAAACATTAGTCGTGATTCTCTTTCTCTCCAACTCCAACATTAGATGCTTTTGGGTTTGCTTTGATAAATAATGCTTCCAAAGCTTTTATTGACATTTTTTATTCTTCTACATCTGTATCTATTAATCTATAAAATGGGTTTCCTTGTTGAATTCTTTGCATTCCCATCACAGCCACCAAAATATTCAAGGAAATTAAAACAAAAAAAAAAAAAAGAATTTGCCCATTGTCTATATATGTTGTCAATTCTCAAAATACTTGTGTCTTTTTCAAAAAAACAAAATATTGGAGTTGGACAATATTTCTGTAATAATAGAAGGTTGCAGCAAACCAATCTCCTGCTTTTATCTTATTATATATAGAGAGTGAATGAATTTCGTTAAAATTCATGAAAATTAAGCTGATGAGATAATAAAATCGGTTTCTGCATCAAGGACTCCTAAGATGTGGAAAGAGTTGCAGGCTAAGATGGATGAATTATCTAAGACCAGATATTAAGAGAGGGAACATCAGCCCGGAGGAAGAAGACCTCATCATCAGACTTCACTCACTTCTAGGCAACCGGTGGTCTCTCATCGCAGGGAGACTACCTGGTCGAACTGATAACGAGATCAAAAACTACTGGAACACCCATCTCAGCAAAAGATTCAAAAGCCAAGGAACCGATTCAAACGCCAAAACCAAGGCGGCAAAAAGATCCACCGGAGAGCCCAAGAAGAGGAAGAGCAACAACCAGCAAAAGAAGAAGAAGAGCATCGGCAGAGGGAATAATGATCAAGAGACAACCAAGACCAAGATCCATCTACCAAAGCCCGTCAGGATCACCTCACTCCCCATCTCCAGGAACAACAGTTTCGAGTACAACACGCCATTAAGCCTGCAAGGAGGAGAGAAAGGAGTAGTAGTTTATACAGAAGATTTAGAGCTTCCATGGCCCTATCTCAGGGATGGTGCTACCACCCTTATTGAGGGTGATCAAGATCATAATCTCGTCGTCGGTGGGTGTGATCTTGGATGCCAATCTCAGATTCCAGTGAAGGATAATGGCATGTTAGAGAAGCTCTACGAGGAGTACCTACAACTCATCAACACAGACACAGAGGAGGATCATCAAGCTGAACTAGATTCCTTTGCGGAATCTTTATGGGCCTGAGAGCTCGAGAAACGTAACGGAGAAAGGAGGAGAGAGGGAGAAAGACAAGACAATTAAAGCAATTAGTGTACCACAATCTATCTAGGACACATGTCCGATCATGGAGACATCTTTCTTACGAAAGCGAAGCTCACCCCACGTCAAAAAGTGGTGACGGATGCCTCGCCTATTTACTCTTAGTCCTAGAAGGCTAGACTAATCTCCTCCTATTCTTCTACACAATCAGTTCACGCGTTTAATTACTTTCCTCCCAGGCTCCCACCTTTCTAGATGTTGGCCATCAATTTAGCATCTTTAGCCAAGTAGGGAGATGGGGGCAGCTGGATGTAGCATGGTTGGTCCAAGGTGCCATAATTATCCATAATAAACTCGCCTAAGTGAGAGAGAAGAGGACCATTTGGAGATACAGGGTCAGGGTGTGTACCAATGTCTTAATGTGTGATGATGATGATGTTTTGTAATTTTTTTTGGGATATTTATGGTTTTTCTTATTTATATATTTTTATTAACCTTCTGAATGCTCAAACCCCATCTATTATCTTTTGTATTTTCTCACTTATGATTATATTTTCACTGTTCCAAATTAATTGCACAAACATGAGATGGAATTAATTAATCTATATATAAAAACCCTTATTATTCTTTTAACACCTTCACAATTCACTATCAGAATGCAAAGCAGCTTATGAAATATGATGGAATTAGACCATGTAGTTATATGAATGAAAGAGAGATAGAGGACGCCTAGCTATAGCTATACAATGAACTACAGAGTTATGAAACACTGAGCTGCAGAGTTACATGATCCAGGAATATAAGTGATTGAGCAACAGCCAACAGAGGATGCCATGAAACAAAACCCTGCCTGCGCAATCGGCCATGGTGTTGATAACTCGCCATAGGGTAGAGCATTTTCTTCCTAACAGGGTGTTATTAACAAAAATATGATGATGCCTCGTATAATAATAATAATAATTAGCGGAGGGCCCTGCGAAATGGAACCGTCGACCTGTTGAGTTATTGACGTAGTTTCTGGTAAAAAACCGTTGAATCGGTCAATGATTCATTGACCTGAGGGATTGAATCGTCGATTCATTGACTTGTTCAATGATTTTTAGCCGTTTTTTCTAATTGGGAATCATCTAGGCAACCAGTTCTATTTTATCCTAATCTCGGTCTCTGGCCAAAAATCGTTGAATCGATCAACGACTCATTGACCAAGGTGGTCGAACCGTTAACTTGTTCAATGGTTTTTGGTCGTTTTTTATTTTTTTAATTTTTGTCGTCAAGACGGGGCCATCCGTTCGAACCGAACAATCGAACCGTTGACCCAAAAACTGGTGGATAGAACGGTTCCGCTTTTAAGTCGTATGAGTCACAAGCTCGAATGACATAACACATATGGTATTGCTTAATGGACCCCACACACTATTTTTTGTGTGTAATTTTTTTTTGTCAGAACAGGTTGTCCATTTTTTTATTATTTTTTTAATTGGGAACTCCCCAGGCAACCAGTTTCGTTTACCCCAATTCTGGTCCTTGGCCAAAAACCGTTGAATCGGTCAACGACTGATTGACCCGAGTTGTCGAACCGTTGACCTATTGACCCATTCGATGGTTTTTGGCCTTTTTTTATTTTTTTTTTAATTTTTGTTGTCTGAATGAGCCGTCCATTCAAGCCGGACAATCGAACCGTCAACTTGAAAACCAATGGCCATAACGGTTCCATTTTTTGGTTGAATGAGTCACACGCTTGAATGACATAACACGTATGATATTGCTTAATGGACCTCACACATTCAATTTTTTGTCTGTAATTTTTGTTGTTAGAATGGATCATCCGTTTGAATTAGACGATCAAATCATTGACCCGAAAACCGATGGCCAGAACGGTTCTATAATTTTTTTCTTGTAATTTTTTGTTCTCAGAACATGCCGTCTGTTCGAACCGAATGATCGAACCATCGACCAAAAAATTGGTGGCCATAGCGGTTTCGTTTTCGAGTTGTATGAGTCACATGCTCGAATGACATAACACGTATTTTACTACTTATTGGACCTCACAAACTCAATTTTTTTCCTATAATTTTTGTTGTTAGAATGGACCATCCGTTCGAACCGGATGATCAAACCGTCGACTCAAAAACTAGTGGCTAGAACGGTTCTGTAATTTTTTGCTTGTAATTTTTGTTGTCAGAACAGGCCATCCATTCAAACCGGACGGTCAAACCATCGATTGTTAGAACGTTATTAACAACATTTATCAATAATAGTAAGTAATTATACTATTTAATTAAATAATCATTAATGATAGTTTTAATATAAGAATTCTAAGACTATAGTGGATTGCATACTCTAAACCAAATCAACTAATGCATGTTTCACTTATCCAATGTTGAAATAAAAATGGGAAAAACTAAAGTGCCAAAGTATGCAAGAATTCCAGTAGATTTCTTGGTTACCTGAATTGAGCGAATGACCTTATTGTGTTGGGAGAAGCCTAGAATCCGAGTTGAGCGAATGACCTTATCTCTAAGCTTCTAAGAAACGTATACCCAATAACATACAAACAATAAGAGAGGGAGGTTGGCAATTCGAGACTGGAAAAAAAAAAAAAAAGAAAATACATAGAAGTATACATGAGTTGAGAGACTACAAAGAATAAGAGAGGAAGAATGGCAATTTGGGCCTGAAAAAAGAAACAGGGAAATGTACCTGAGTTGAACGACTAACCTATCTCCACAAATGGCTTGAGTGAATGATTTGATCTTAGTATATAACTTAAGTTAGTAACAGGATGGAGACACTAACAAAATTGAAAACATGCTCTAGTGATTTTTCAAAAGTCAGTATTCTACCGTTATAGAAAACAAGACTGGCCTCTTGGAGATTTCTTAGAATTAAATCAGAGCCTAACAAAATTGAAAAATAGGCCTCTTCAAGATTTCTTAAAATTCATTGTTCTACCGTTAGGTTAAAATCCTAGAAAAAGTTGACCCTGTAAATGGAGTTTCGAAAAGTAAACCTGGTTTATATGAAAGACAAGGTGCTTACCACACGGAGAGAGATAGATGCTTAGCCATTTCAAATTAGAGAAAATGACGAGGGCTGGGGAAAAAGAAGATGGTATGGCAAAGAAACGTTGAGAGGGAGAAAATGGTAGGGGGAAAATTTCCCTCCAAGATAGGAGAGAAACACAAGTGCTTAGCCATTTCAAAATAGAGAAATTGATACAAAGTGAGAGAGAAGAAACACAGGTGCTTAGCCGTTTCAAAATAGAGAAATTGAAGAGGAGAGGAATTAGCAAACGTTGAGTAGGGGAGGAGAAAGGTGGGATAAATGATGTAGCAGAATCAACTATGGGGTTATTTTCAAAAAAAAAAAAAAAAAGAATACCACACATGTGAAAATGGAGAGGTCAGGAAAACTCATGTGAAGCTTGTGGTGAGATCGCTTGCCTCCTTATGTCCAATACAGATTTCTGAATTCCACTATAGACCTATAAACATTTAAATGTCCAAAACCCCCACGTTATACACTAATGACTAAACCGTCATTCTCCAACGCGACACACGTTTTTCATGTGACAAAAAAAAATAAAGATTCTGTGGGTGATGAGAGGAATTAAAAGCATAAAAGTAATAGTTAGAATCTCTTCCGGTGTGAATATAAAAATCGCTGCATATATAATAATAAGTAAGAAAGAAGTATAACCACGTATAGCCAATAAGTAATAATTGTTTAGGACCGTTAGGCAAACAAGAGCAGGCACGGATCCGATGACAACCCACGGGCCTGAGTACAAAAATAGCTGCCATGAGTGGAGTTTGTATCTGGGGCTGTGCAAACACTTACACTTACACCATAAAGGAAATTGGAAATGGGGAGAGTAATGCCCTCAGCCCTCAGGCATAAAAAAACAAATGCAACGTTGCTTTGGCTGTGCTTAATCAACCATGTGCTTTCTGAACTTGTCCCTGGTGATGTCGTCATTTTCTTTGTAATAGTAATTTTAATGGTCCCGTTTACAGTGGCTGACAGAGGTTTATATGGGCCCCCAGACCAGGCCCATATAAATTCACATGTTGCAATTAAAAGATACAGTACGGGTTCATGACTTCATTCCACAAGTTTCAACTTCAACTTTGGGTCCTTATTGCCAACTACAAATCACACACGTAATTTTATGTTAGATGAACTCGTGACTAACTTCACTTCCTAAACTTTGGTTCGACTTTTGGTCCCGTTCTTGTCTTGTCCCACTTTAATTAGAAACAAACACTTACCGCAAATTTTATATTTATATATATATATATATATATATATATATATATAGATATATAGATATATATATATTTGTTTTTGTGGTTTGTGGCCTTCATTTCATCGATAAATCAAAATAGAGTTTATTAGTAATTTAATTATAGTGTAGGGCCTCACTTTTCTTTTTATTTTTTTTCTCATCATGTGGGAGTGGTGGGACCATGGTTCAAAGTATTCAAAAATTTTTGAATTTAAATATACTAATTTTTAACGTGCCATATTCTTTTTCTTGTTCTTTCTACTTGGGCCCATGTGTTGATAGTCAAACCTCAGTGAATAGCCATCTGATTGGTTAACTTGTTTATGAAACGATTGATTCCTTTCAAGTTTTCAGACATGGAATCTTTCCGTTATCATAGTCAAACCATTGCTCCTTTAAAAACTCTTTAAATTTTAGCACATATGCTTCGATTTAAGCATTCATGCAATCCCACTAAAGGCTCAGTTTAGAAGGAGTATAAATACAAATATGTATAGTATAAATGCATATAAAATAACATAAAATACAAGGTTTTATATTCTAGAATTTTGTATTTATATTCTTCTCAATGAGTACAAATGTAGATATGTATAGTATAAATACATACAGAAAAATATAAAATATAGAGTTTTATACTCTACGCAGAAGGAGTATAAATACAAATATGTACAGTGCAAACACATACAAAGTAATACAAAATATAAAGTTTTGCACTATAAAAATTTGCATTTGTATTCTTTCCAATTAGAAGGAGTACAAATACAAATACGTACAGTACAAATGCATACAAAATAATACAAAATGCAAGATTTTGCACTCTACATATTTGCATTTGTACTCCTTATTGATATAAAGTATGTATTACAAATAGGATTTTGAATCCAACAAAATGCTATTTGAAGAGATTTAGGGGGATTTCTATATTTTCTAATGTTTTCGAACTGCCATTGACTTGGATCGCCAAACCGTTTGGCTTGGGAACCGTTCAGACAACCAGTTCCATTTTACCCCAAACCCTGTCCCTGGCCAAAAACCGTTGAAGTGGTCAGCGATCCATTGACCCGGGCATTTGGACTGTTGACCCGTTTGACCCATTCAATGGTTTTGGATGTTATTTTTTTTATTTTAATATTTTTAACTTTTTTTATAAGAACACGTTCATTC